AGGGAAGCCCTCCAAAGGCCGGCTTGCCCGGGCTCCCCGCAGTCATGGGGCGCCTGGGCAAGCCAAGGGAAATCGCCTATTATCGACTGCGGGGCTGTTCCCACCTGCAGCGCTTGTGTTCACACTCAGGGAACCGGAATCAACCCGCTCTCCACATGGTTTGCTACCTCTTTCACCTGGTACTTTTTAAACTCAGGAGGGAAGCGGCACAAGATGGCTTGAGTACGGGGGGTCACCTGAAAGATGTGCCTGTGTGAACCCGCCCCTTTAATCTGCTACTGAAACACTCCTGAAACGTTTGGCTGCCGGGCCAAACTGCCAGTCTGAACTCGGCCATGGTTTTGTATTTTGTGTTTTCTACATCAGTTTTAACCTCCAGTGTTAAATATATTGTGTTGCTAAAATCATTGCTTTCACTTTAGGATCTGTTGCTGGAAGCAAACGTTAATCAATTCTCCTGTGCGGCCCCAAAGCCCGAATGTAAAAGCACAGTAAGTAGGATGGAGTGGGGAAAAAATGAATGTGGTTCGTGTGTGAAAGTGGAATAAGATTGTATTAAGAGTTAGAATTTGAGAAGCAGTCAATATAGTAAAGGTAAAGGTTTCAGCCAGTTGAGTCCGACTCTAGGGTTGCGGTGCTCATCTCCGTTTCAAAGCCGAAGAGCCAGCGCTGTCTGAAGACGTTTCCATGGTCATGTGGTCGGCATGACTAAACACCAAGGCGCACGGAACGCTGTTCCCTTCCCACCTAAGTGGTACCTTATTTATCTACTTGCAATTTCTTGCTTTTGAACTGCTAGGTTGGCAGGAGCTGGAACTAGAGATGGCTTTGTGTTTATATATATACACATACACATACATACATATATATATATATATACACATACATACATACACATATATATATATATATACATACATACATACACACATATATATATATACACACATACATACACATACATACACACACAATACAATATAGCTTTGTGTTAATAACAGCAGCGCCACTAGCTTAGAGTCGTGGGGGGGGTCCCCCGCTCAGCTCTCACTTCAGCCACAAATTCACTAGGCAAGTCGTTACACTCAAACCTTGTAATCTGTAATTATGATAAAATATTTAGCTATCATTGGGATGAAACAGGAGATAAACCAGTACTGTGATATGAATGACAAAGACATTTCAAGGTAAACATCATATTACAATATAAATAAAACTTTGCAATATTACAAGGAAAAGTCCATCATTCTCAGTGAGCACCCAGATACAAGCTCATTTCATCCCCATCTTCCCCAGGAGGTATCCTATTATGCTGAAAGTTGTCAGCCTCTTGATACGGCTCAGTGTTACGTTAGAAGCAAACCAGTGCTTAACTTTGTCTTTGCTTTCTTCAAATTGTCACTCTTTACTCTCAGAGTCACACAGACTCTCTTCAAAACTCTTCCGTACTTGTCTCTCTCATATCACAGAATCTCCTCCTAGACACACACATACAGAATCCTCTCAGAACATCCCTCCTCCCACCCACGCTCTCAGTCATCAGCCAGTCAAAATATACTCCTCTCCCTCTATCACTCTTCTTCCAGCACTGCAGTCACACGAAACATTTAAAGGAACACACACACCAAAACATGGAATCATTACACTGAGGCTCAAAGGAGGGTCTGGGGTGACATTCAGGCACAATGCCTGGGCTGAGGCCCTTTCATTAGAATCTCCCTTTTCCTTTCCCACTTCAGAAAAGTTGCATTTTGCATCTTTGCGTCTTCTACGTTTCACTAGATTTCCGTACATTCTTCACTCATTTATTTGGAAAAGATAAGTTGCCAAATGCAACTTTAGGCAAAATTATGTGAATTATAGCCATTTAATCAGTTGTAAGCTACCATGAGTGTTGTAGGGAAGAAAGGAATTTTAAAATGCATTTTAGGATATGGCATCATGGAGTGAGACAGGAGGTCTTCTTTGAGTTCTTTTCCTCTTATCATACATACACACAGAGACTTAAGTGGGAACCTGCACATTTATTTATTTATTTATTGCATTTTTACCCTGCCCTCCCCGCGAATGGGCTCAATTTATTTAATTCTCAACTTGGCCAAATCTGAGAATAATTACATTTGAAGAATGGAGTCATAAATGGACAAGACAGATCTTTCAACAACCTGGGGAAAAGCCAGCTTTACAGAAAAATCTAAAATCTAATAAATAACGGGAAACCTCTAGAAAATTGCCTCATCACCTCTGGCTTTCTCCCCCCCACCCCATCACATCCAGGTTCTCATGAAAAGCTAACTGCTTTGACCTTGAAGATTATAAGAGCCCTGTAGGCCCAGAGGCCAATTAGTAACACCTGCAAAATAGACCAGGCCTGCCACTGTTCACATTAAAGGGTGTGTGTGTGTGTGTGTGCTTTGCCTCACACAAGGTATGAGCTTTCATGAGTCTGAAAAAGTGAGAAGTGACTCACGAAAGCTCCTCCCCTGCCACAAATTTTGTACACTTTAAGGTGCTACTGGAGTCTTGCTCTTTTCTGTTGCTTCATTTCTTCAGTTACTGGACGTATCTAATCCGATTTTGTGAATGACATTGATGGAACTGAATAATTTGTTAACATGGGAACAATTCTTTATGACTTTTAGAGTATAAATGAGATACCAAAATTTGCTGAGAGATTCCAGGCTCAGAAGATCAAAGGAAAGGTAAGCAACATAGCTTGAGTCGTTAGTTTTATATAGTTCAGAGATAATTTTACACTGTGTAATCTGTGATGAGAAATGGAAGTCTCATTAAGCAACTTTATATTTGGGGTCTATAGCAGGAGTGTCAGATATATACCCCCCAGACCATAACCAGCCCCTCTAGGGCTCTTATCTGGCCCGCAAGCAACTTAATTTTGTTTATTGAACTATAATTAGAAACATTATGGGGTCATTTTGTAGAAAAAGAGGTGCAGGAGCTCATTAGCATAACTCATTTGCAT